CCCTCCGCCCCCAAGGACATCCACTGCCTCTACCCGGGCGACCTCTACCCCTTTGTCCGCCGCCCGCTCTTCCTCGTCGTCGACTCGGACAACAGCACCGCCTTCCAGCACATTCCCCGCTACTTTGGCCAGCCCCTCGTCGTGTTGATGTCGCCCGAGGAGAGCCCCGCCCCCTTCCACGACCAGGCCATCAAGGGCTCGCTCTTCACCCTCTTCCTCCACTGTCCCCTCACCGCCCTCTGTCTGGTGTCGAACATCATCGAGCTGTCGATTCAGCTGTGGGAGCGGGCGCAGCAGGTGGTGGACCGCTTTCTCGCGGAGGCGGGGCGGCTGCTGGTGCGCTCCCGGGCCACTGACGCCGCCTACATTCAATTTTACGCGGACGACTTCCTCCGCCTGCTGACGCTGCGCTACGTCTTCTGTGCGGTGGTGCTGCGGATGCATCGGCTCTTTAGGGTAAAACTGGGAGGGGGAGGGGTTAATTTAATGATGGGGTTTTAATTGATTATAACCCCTCTAGGTTCGAAGGTCGTACATGCCCAAGGCGCATCCGCCCTTCTCTGAGAACGACATTCTAGAGGCGCCCAGCCTCCGTCGACTCATTCTCGAAGCGGCGAACATGCTCGACATTGAGTCGCTCTTTGCTGAGGAGGAGTAGGAGGAGGAGGAGAAGGAGTGGTCGTGGATTCATTTCCTTGACATCTTCATTGCTGACATCTCCTCTGCTATGCGCCTCATCGCCACCACCACTTGCACAACCACCAACCACTTGCACTGAAGTTTACTGACTGAAGATATTTACCTGAGTGATTGATTGAATAATTGAAAAGCTGAAAAGCAACAGGGACTGGTAATGTTCCTGAAGATGTGGACAAACTGAAAGGTGAGTCCAAAGTGGTTGACGCTTTTGGTTTCCTGTTTTGCACCGTTTTGTCCACTGTGAGCTGACTGAAAAATTGGAAAACTGTTGCTGATTGCCAACAGTGCAGCTGTTGGATGT